GCATATTCTTGGTTTTCGAAGTCTAAGCTTAAGTTGTTTGAGGTTTGGTTGGTCACGTATGAGATTTTGAAAGGCACCAAGACAGGTAGGATTGCAGAGGAGTATGGTTTCTCTAGTACTACTTCAGCAGATTGGAGGCAATTCATTAACGAGACCGTTTTGAATTATATTGAGGAGAATTCTGAGAAGGTAGGTGGTGATGGTGTTGTTGTGGAAATAGATGAGTCGAAGTTTGGCAAAAGGAAGTACAATAGGGGTCATAGTGTTGAAGGTCAGTGGGGTTTTGGTGGTATTGAAAGGGGATCAGGTAAGGTTTTTTTAGTTGCTGTGCATGATAGGTCTCAGGAGATGTTGTTGTCGGTAATTAAGGAATGGATTAAGCCAGGTACGTCTGTTTATTCTGATTGTTGGAAAAGTTATGATTGTTTGACGAATGATGGTTTTGAGCATTTAAAGGTAAATTATTCTTTAACATTTGTAGACCCCGATTCCGGGTGTTATACAAATACAATTGAAAGTACGTGGAGGCATGTTAAAGCTTCTTTGCCTACGTACAATAGCAAGGCAGATTATAAATTTTACCTTGCGATGTACATGTTTTGTAAATCATGTTTAGCGGCTAATGTTGATTGTTTCAATAAATTTATTGAAATTGCTGCTGGGGTAAATTGGGAGGAATTCAAAATTTCTGTATAAATAATTCTTTTTATTAGATTGCCGACACGTATTTTCAATTGTATTTGTTAAAATTTTTGTGTAAATTGTATATAATATGTTATTCAGTGTCATTTATTTGTATTTTTTATGTATTCATCGTATTTTTTAGGTATTCTTTTTTTTTGTATTTAATGATTCCGTATTTTTTATGTATTAATTATTTGTATTTAGCGAGAATCCATCTTGGCAAGAAAAAAAGGCGCCAAAAACAATTATTTTGCTTGGCGAGAAAAAAGTCGCCAAATTTCCGATTTGGTGGGGTATATCAAAGTAGTTCCAATTGAACTATCTTGTAAAAATTCTGTATCGTTATGTGTGAGTATTGAAAGAAACAATCAATCTGATAAGAAATGGTTGTGACTTGTTTTGAAAATCAGGCGTAAAAGGTTACCAGTGAGGATATTCCATTTGGCATCAGTTGTACCATATTGGCAACTTTATCGCCTGCGCCAGCAAAATGGAAAAGTACCTAAATTTCAAATGATACCATGTACTCAGCATTTTGTTTTAACTTGAAAAAACATCAGCGAATTGCACAATATAGGCATTGTGCACAAATCAACAAAATAAAGTAAATTACAAATAATTCAAAAAACGACAATAACAACAGAAATAGCATAGCAAAAAAAAAATGAACATAACATTCTACAAAATAAGAACAACAATAAAATAAAATGCTCTTACCATTGTGAAGGCTTCTTCAAACAGCAGAAATATCAATTTCAAACATCAGTCAACCTCATCAATTTCCAACAGTTTATCCTTCCTCCCTGTCGTCTAAGACACAGAGCATACAAAGTCCAGCATATATATTCGTGAATAAAATTTACCCAGTCTCGCAATGTCTGTGAACAAAAAGCCACGATATTGCTACACTTCTTTCTGCGATTCAAAATTTCAAAAGTAACGATTTTACCTTGCACACAATCCAAAATACGCGACTAAAATTTTGCCACCACGTCTTTCATTGCAATATAAGCCATTTCAAAATGCCCACCTAAACAACCAACCAGTTAAATAAAACAACTCCAGGAAAATTAAGTTGTAACGTCAAAAGGGTTGCCATAAAAACCACATCACGCCAGAAACCACTGCAGAACACACAATTGGGCCAAAAAACAGTGCAGCACACATATCAGCACATTTGGCGACGCCATACATCTAAGGGCATATATAAGAGTAGTACCCTATTTTCCCCAACAGTCGTAAATTTTTCAAAATATTATCGTTATTTTTTTTAAGTGATTAACAGTCATTCGAAATATTCTTTTAGGTTATTGATGTACAGAAAATGCTCAGGTTCAAGATGCTTTTTCAGTTTTGATGGTTTCATAGCCAAAACATATAGCAAATTTAAAAAACAAAAAAACTGTTCATTACCATCACAGGTACTGAAAGTAAAGCCGAATTGGAAAAACATCTCATCATATTTTCTTTCTCTGATTAAATCCTCTTTGAAAAGATTTTGTGCATTGACACCATATCGTTACCTTCATTGCTCAGATTCAACCATTTATCAATGCGTAAAATATATTTGTGTCCTGAAATATACAAAAACTAACATCTGTGATAATAATTATTCAAATAAATACCTAACTTAATTGAATAAAACTGTGAAATACAGTACTGTTAAGGTACTTGCAATGCACATACTTGTTGCAATGAAACAGAAACAACTCACTATATTTGAAAGGTGTTTTCATAATACCAGTTACATAATACCAGTTAATCAACCTCTTATTTCCTTGCATGCCTTTGGGGTGCAGGACATCACATATTTTGCATTTGCAGCATATTTTGATTCTGAAATAAGTTACCTGCTGATGCTGCAATATTATCATTGTTATGATGTGCTTAGTGGTATTTTTCAGGATGTAAATATAATTACAACCCAACTTGGCCAATGTTATAATTTTAAAACTCTGCTGTAGAGCAAAAGTAATATATTTCAGTTTATGAAGGAATTGCCCATAACATTTTGTTAATTTCATGTATCTGAATTAAGTTTTCACTTTGCAAACCAGAATTTAAGAAAGATTGCCTTGTGTGATGTAAATGCAAGCAGCTGCTCTCTAAATTTCTGGATATATCTGTTCAAATATGCCATTGAAAGGATGATTGTCGAAAATGTGCAAATTAACCAAATGTTTTATTTAAATATTGGAAAAAATGTTTTAATACAGTTTAATATTTAATATTTTAGACATTTAGTTTTAATATAGTTTAGATAATAAAGTGGTAACTGTTACATTTTCTGTATCTCAGTAAATTAAATATTGGTCATCTGGAAAGTTCTATGTTTTTTCAGATTACAGCGTGTTTTCTTCTAATTATTTTGTTGCTGCTGATTGAGAGTGGCCTTGATCAAGGCAGATATTTAAATATGGTCTTTTCTGATTATGTTGCACCATTCTAGCATGTGTTGTGACATCTTTTTTTCCCAGTGCAATGCTAAGAATGGAGAACATTCATTTTTGTCATATTATGCCCTTTATTTTAAAAAAAGAAAAGAATGCTAGTAAGACTGCTCATAAAATTTGTGCTATCTATGTACAAAGGACTGTTTCTGATGATAAAGTTCGAAGGTGGTTTGAGAAGTTTATTAGTGGAAATTTTAGTCTCAAAGATGCTGGATGATAATTTTCTGTAAACAAGGGGCCTGTTAAAAACTGTCACTCAAAATCCATGTTATACATTTCAAGAACTACCAGACAGATTAAATAGTCTCCAGAGTACAGTACATGGTCATTTAAAAAAGATTGGTATGTAAGCTGACTCTTAAGATATATGGGTACCCATACGTCATACTCTATTTTATACGTCATACTCTATTAGAGCAGAATATGCTTTAAAAAGGCAGAATATGTTTGCTCAGATTTCATGTATGATTTTTTGCTGAAAACAGATGAAACTCCTCTTTTTTTAAAGTGAGAAAGTGGGTCATTATTCGATATGAAAAATGGATACTATACAAAATGTTTCAAAAAAATTGTGGAGTTAAACATTGAGAGGGTAATTGCATTCCCAAAAAGTAATGCTTTGTGTACTACAAAGCATTACTTTTTGAGTACCTAATCAGATGATAAATTTGAAAAAAAAATTTTTTTTCCATGTGGCAATTTTAAAAGAAGTTGGTTGAAGCAGTGGCAATTTTAAAAGCAGAAGTTGAAGCAAAGGGGCCAGAGATGACCTGTCGTTGAGCTGCTGTTTTCTATCATGACAATGCTTAGCTCCACATTTTGATGAATGTCAGACAGAGTTATTGAGTTTGGATGGTATGTTTAGTATCACTACCCATTCACCAAATCTGAGAATTTATCTCTTCAGGTCACCTGAAAATTCTCTGAATTGCCCAGCGTTTACTTCTTTGAAGATTGTCAGACTGCACTACAGTACGTTCTTTATGAATAAAAACCTAATGACTTTTTAAAAAAGGCATATTTGAGATGGCAAGAAGTCACATAACAAAATGTTTATTTGTAAATTATATATATGCGATTCAATAAAAATTTCTTTTGTTTTTGTACTTCTTCATTTGTATTTGTCATCAAGATCCTTCAGAACTTTCCAGGTGACCCAATAATTATTTTTATAGCATTTACTACTTTTATTGATGCTTATTGGTTGTACCAGGATACATTTTCTTGGAGATAATTTTTGAGTGACTAAACATCCCCAGTGATATTTTAGTAACCATACCAAACTCTTCGATAATTTGAAATAATGGAAAGCATGTGATGGCTTTCAACCTAGGGGAATGGATTCTCTTCATAGAAGACATTTTAAGGGAAATTGGCTCATATTCACATTGCACAATGGAAAATTCATGAAAACTCATTTGCCCTGATTTAAAGAGTTGTCAGTGTTCAGCAGTCTTATTGCTTGCCTGTTGGTTGGCACCAAACTTTTGAAAAATGGTTGTAAGCATAAGCATCTGATTTTTCTTTGCGTAACATAATTCATTGTTTAGATGTTAGAAGAGAAGAAAAGTAACAAGCGAAATTAATGTATGGAAAGATTGATAAGAGTGCAAATTATTAGAATAGAGCATATAACTTTTATAGACCCAGAGGGGGGATTAGAAATAAGAAACAGATATGATGTGTGGGTAACTAAAATGCCACTGGATTTTTTTTTCCACCAAAAACTGTCATCATGAAAATGTGACCTTATAAATTACCAATTATTTCCTTTACTTGGTTATTGGTATCATATAAAGTCATAAACAATGTAAATGAATATCATTTCCAATATTATTTTATTTAGAATGTTACTTTTTACAGGAAATATGATGTTTGCTGGAAGTGCTTTTGGAGTTCTGGGACATTATTGGTATAAATTTTTAGATTTTAAATTTCCTGGTGCAAGTGCAAAAGCTGTTGGAAAAAAAATTCTTTCCGAAATGGCTATTGGACCTCCACTGTTTTTGGGATTTTTCATAAGTATTGGTCTTCTGGAAGGGAAATCTGTTGATCAGAGTTTTCAACAATTCAAAAAGAACTTTTTTCTTATATTAGCTGTAAGTATTCTGTTATGCTATATTCCCATGCACAAATATCTTAAAGTTACTAAATTATACATCTTGGGACTATAATTTCTTGTATATTTTATGCATTCAAGAAAATTAATATATGTATATATTTATATCCTTTTTCAGTTAAAGAATAATGATCTATAGTTTGTAAGATTTTAGAGCATTAGGTTTTTTTACTGCTCCTTCAGTAGTTAAACTCCATGTTATTAAAAATTGTACTTGACATCTTCTTTCATTAATCCCAAATTTTAATTGTTTTTTCTTTAAGTGAATGAATGAAGGAATGTAAATTATATAGATAATTTGAAAGAACTGTGAGGAAAACTAAACATAAAAGGATACTAGAAATTTTATGCATTATGTAATTAAGTATGCAATCATTAATGCAAAATGACCAGTCAATGATGCCATTATTTCAAGAGATATATAAAAAGTATTAAGTGATTGAAAAGTATAATTTGAATCTGAAAATTACTTTTTGTAATGTGTGGAATATAAAAACCTTTAATAGGGTACATCTCATAATGGAAATTATGGTAATATATTGTTATAATCTTAATATATTGTTACAAATTTGGTATTTAAAAAGCTAATGTTAGTTCAATTATAAATTAAATGGTTTTATTTCTCCCGCGCAGTGCAGCGCGTGACGAATGTTAAAAGAAAGCTAAGCCGAAAAAATTGAAAATACAAGAGCACGTGCTTTTAACATTAAATAAATAAATATGTCTTTTTGATTTCAAGAAAGTACCAGAAAATTCTCGCACGTGATTTAAAAATCTTATAAAAGGAGGAAAACCTCTCAGTTTGTTGTAGTTGCTTAGTTTGTTGTTGTTTAGAAAACTGCTCTTGTTGATTGTAGCAAATTCGCGGATTAGCTTTCTTTAGCTGTTTTGGAATAAGTTCTTTTGAACTTTTGAAGTTTGAGTAGTTAGAAGATAACTACTGTGATATATTGTGATACTACATGATTATTTGAGGACATTTAATAATATTTATTGTGATAATAATAAATTTTTGTTCATTTTTCATCGGACTTGTGCATTCATTTTGTAACGAACCCGTACGCACGCAACAATATTTAAAAACTGAATAATAATTGAGAAGAAAATCTAGCTGATTGTTTTGAAATCAGTAATAAATTTATTATTATGCTAGTGTTAATTTTTCAGGATTTTTTTTATCCTGCTCTAGAGATAAGGAACCAGAAAAAGTTTAGTCTTCAGTATATTTGAATCTTATAGTTAAATATATATTGGTATTATGCAGGGCTTAATTTCTAAAATTAGAAATGCTGGAGGTTATGCAAGGCCATCAGAAAAGAGCTACAGAAACAAAGAAATAAAATAATTAAGTTATTAAAAACATGAGTAAAATGTAATGAGATACAAATTCAATTAATTATTAAATTAATAAAATAACAAATCTTGTCTTATTTGGAGCTGCGGCTGGAATCACATTTTCGTTCAAATATAAAGAAACAGCAGCTCTGAATGTGCAGAATGTACTATTTCAAGTAACAACGGATAAATATGAAAGCATCCCTGATGATAACAGAGAGAATAGATAGAAACAGTATGCCAGTATGGAAGGAAATTTTAATGGAGGAGTGACTCTTTGTTTTTACAAAGAGAAGAGAGTCCAGTACTTTCGGATTACGATCTCTTACTTAACTGTTTCTAGTTGATGTATAAACTGAGAACGGTTATGCACAACAACCATTTTCATCCCCCCCCATTTGGTTACATTATCCCATGTGTATGCTCTTTTCCATGAGAAAGCACTAGCAGTACATGCATTTGAGTTGTTTATCTTAGTATTTCATTATGTTAAACTTGTAACTTGGAGCAGTAACGTACACAACATAAACTCCTTCGCTGTTCTATTTTAAATGTTGTTTAATTGAAACTGCTGATTCTGAATTTGTGGAATGATGATAAGGATGATCTCTTCTAGCACTTTTGACTCACACACAATGAAAAATTTATCCATTCTCAAAAGCTTTCATAATTTCATTGCACTTCCTGAAGAATAAGGTTTTGATATGTGGGTAGGGGCATCTCTTTCCTTAAAAGTTGCAGTCTATCTCTAAGGGTTCGTTCCATGCATTCAGAAGTTAGAATTGACTTTTAAAGTTTACTCATTACTAAAATAAATTTTTATGATATCAAAAGAACTTTTTTTCTGAAATTATGGTATGGTTTCATAAAAGATGTACATTCATAGCTCCAGTGCCCTCTGGTCGGAATTATAATTTATCTCAGAAGCTGAGAAGTACCAGAGAAAAACTCAGTTTAAGCAATTTAAAATCTCTCTGATCTTATAATCAAAATATATTGATATAATCTAATAAATGAGTATTAATTTGGTTAAAAGTTAGATGTAGTTATTATCTTTATGACAAAGATGAACAGGATAAAAAATTATACAGTCAATTTTATAAAATAATGAATATATGTTAAAATGGTCTGTTTAAGATTTTTTTTTTTTTTAAATGTAAGAATATATGTTACTTTCTGATTATTCACAGCACCGCTGAAAAGTTGCCAAAAAGTAAATAAATAAAATAAAAATCATAAGGCAAAGCAATATGTTGTCCAAATAGTTGTGTGGCAACCCATGATGTTGCCAAAAAGTATTTTTACAGCAATCCAGGTATGTGCATTGCATGTCTTTTTTGACAGGTGTGTGCAACGCAGAAGTTTTTTAGCTTTTTAAATGAAAGCAGGTCACTGCGTACATGGTAGGAAGAGCACAGCAAAAAAAAAAAAAAAGGATTTCTTGAAAAAAGTGTTTTATTGTCAGTGTTTCTTGCTTTTAAATTTTATTGATTGATTGATCATGTATTTGAAAATATTGCCTTTTGCGCATCAGCTTGACGAAAAGTTCACAACTTTTCAGTGGGACCTATGAATAATCAGAAAGTATAAAAAATTTTAATACTGAAAAGAAAAGGTGGAAATAATCCAATTGTAGCGTATGCAGAGAGAAATAAATTTCCATACTGTGTTATTTAATTGAAAAAATTTAGATTTTTAATTAAATAGCGTATAAAATTTCAATATTCTTTATTTTTTATACTGATTGGTTAAATACTTTTTAGGCAGATTGGGCAATATATGCTCCTTTGCAAGCAATAAATTTCTTCTATGTTCCTCTAACATACAGAGTTTTGTATGTATGTGTTCTTTGTTTGGGATATGATATCTTTCTATCATATGTTATACATAAGGTAAGTCAAATTTTATTAGTAGCTTTCATTATATTCTGAAAAAGCATTCTTTACAGAGTCTATGAGTTTTAATTTGAAGCTGTTAAATTTATTAAAGTTTAATTTTTATGGTGCAGTTTTACATGAAGAGAAAAAGAAGAGTAATTGATCAGTACTTAACAGCAGTTTTCAAACATTTTGGCTCATGGAACCCTTTTTAGAACCAATTTCTATGGTTGAGCTCTCTCCTTAGGCTTACTGTGTGTCTTACAAGTTAATAGCATTTACGAGCAGTGTTAGGAGGAGGAAAAGGAGATAGATAGTCAAAAAAATGACGAAAGAGGTATTTAAAAACTGTGCAATATCCATGCAATAAAATTACTTTAAAAACTTTGAAATTTACTGTTCTTTTGTTTATTCTTAACTATAACAAATACAGTACAAAGTGTTTAATCCGGATGTCTATAATCTGGAATGATCTATAATCCGGACCTCAAAGCTACAAACTTTCTGCGCATGCGCATTTAATGGATAACGGACAGTATAAGCTAGGTTAACATTATCTAATTACCTATTTCAATTAATTTTGCAGATTGTGTTGTTCCTTAATCTTCTAATTAGATCCGGCTTATTAATTTTTGCAGACTGTTAGAGCAATTTTATAAAAAGTAAGCTTGAACTTTCAATTATATCAAAAAGAGTTTTCGGTTCTGGAGCTGCCAAAAGATCTACAAAGCGAAAGCACGTTTCAATGTCCATCAAACAAAAAGTGGAATTGCTGCAAAAAATGGATAAAGGCGTAAAGAAAATGACAGAGGGGTTAGTGAAAACAAAAAAATTTCGATTGACAAGTTAGTCAGTATTCTCGGCACAGCAATAACAAGCTGTGCCTGAATACAGGACTTGAACAGTGGAACTTTGTAACTGAACAAGAAATTATGCCTGTGTATAGAATTAAAGAGAAAGTATTAGCACAGAAAACGAAGCAACTTTTAAACAACTTGCATTAAAAGAAATGTTTAATAAAGTAAACAAATAAATATTAAGCTCTTTTTTTTTTTTTTTTTTTTTTTTTTTTTTTGTAAATTTTGATACCCTTTACATCATAATTACACTTTATTTCATAAATTACGGTTTCATGTTTTTAATTTTATAATTTCTGCATGCCATCTTACCAGATTTAAATTGATGATCTATAATCCGGAATCGGCGAAGTCCTGACGAGTCCGGATTAAAGACTGTACCATGTGTATTCATTGTAGTTGAGAATCTAAATAAGTATTGTCTCACCAATGGCCGAATAGTCAAAATCACTGAATATGGGGAATTCAGTCTCAGGCAAATGAGCTGGCTATATGGTGGTTTTCATGATTTCCTCCATGTGTAACATTAATGCGAGCTAGTTTCTGTTAGGAAGTCCTTCATGAACACATCTCTCTCATTAGGCTGTTAGCCCATTTGTGGTTTGTCATATTTAAATAAATTAACCTAACGTTATCCATGGTATTATTAAAACTATGCAATAGAAAAAAGTTATTTCAAAGTTCTTTAAATCAAACCTTTTGTATTAAAACAGGTTATTCATGACAGCATTAAAATAGATCCATACAATAAACACAGCTCCTTCAGTTTAAGTGTTATATTAATCAATTTAAAATAAACATTTGTTAATTATTTGTAATTAAAAATTGTGATTAATTACAGAAAATGATTTCAGTTTAGTTTTGCTAACTAGAGTGCTGCATAGTGCAACAGAAGGCCTAAATTAAGATGTAATATAAAATGGCACTGCTTTCTTATTTTAAGGTCAGTTGCTAATAATTGCAGGTGATTGTCTGGTTCTATATTTAAGTGGCTTCTGTATCTTGTTTTGGTGCTTGTGTAGGTAAAGAATCCTATGTCAAAAGACGTATAGTTAAGAGACTGATACCGGTATAATTTTCTCAGATGAGATTTTGAATTCATTTTGTGATGCATCCAGAACTACTGCAAGCATGATTTTTAGTCCCTTTTAAGATGGTGAAGTCAAACCTTGTATTCTGCGGAGTTTAAACTGAGTGGTTTTTAGCTATTCATTCTGAGTGCATTCAAGAAAACATTTAGAGTCTTGAGCTGTTGGAAAATAATATTCAAACAAATTTTTCAAAGCTTCAAGCTGTGCCTGAATAGTTTTCTGTAGTTTTCTTTTGGTCTTGATGTTATCTTCATTCAAGAAGCATTTTGTAAGCGGGAAGCTAACATTATTTTAATTTACCATGCATTCCAATTAATACATAAGTTTCATCTTAAAAGAAGATGCTTTGACATTTGCAGCACAAACTGTAGCATTTTTTATTTGCAGTGGTAGATTTATTTTGTTTATTGCATAATTAGGATATATTTTGAAACTCAGTTTGAGTTAATAATAGTAATAAATTAGAAAATTAACATATTTATTCAGAAAGAACAAATATATATATACATACATATATATGTGTGTGTTAAGGTAAAAAAATAATTTAAATCAAAATTATAATTTAGACTAGTTTTAACCCCTTAATTCCCCTTCTCTATTCTGAAAATCATAATAATAGCTTTTCTGGACTACGTCATTTCTGGATTAATCAATCTTGCATAACATTTATCATGTATAACTCAGAACCTGAACTCAAAATTTTGAGAATTGAAAGCTTTCTAATCTAACTTTTCTAAAGCCTCCTCTTGGTGAGCCTGGTCGTGTTACTAACAATGCTATTATCTAAAATGAGATACTCTGTATAAAATTGTGTGGTGCATATTGCACTCATGATCATGTATGATGAAGTATATATTTTCGATAATTAGTTCATAAAAAACTAAACTCAGTGGTGTAACAGCCCTGAAAGGCCAATACAGAGTTGCCAACTCTCCCGATTTATTGTCCCCGTTGGTGTGTGATGATGAAGATATTTTTTTTGTATGAGGAAGTTTTCAAAAATATATATAATTAGTGGTTTGTAAAAAGACATTAGTATGAAAATTTTTCAGTGTTGAATTGAGAGAAGAAAGCATTAAAATTTACAATATTTTTATTTTTCTTAAAATTTACAATTTTTATGGAAGGCTTAATACATATGAACTTGGAGTGAAAGAATTGTTTTTTTACCCCGGATGAGAATTGTGATGAAAAGTATCCAAACATCTGTTTTCATCACATATGTTGCAAAGTAGTAATGCCAATTAGTTTTAATCTTTTGTTGTCCGTTATCTGATTTAAAAAAATGCCCCCGTGGTGCAGGTATGTGTTCTGTATTAATGCAGAAAGCCTTTTTCCTATGACACCCCCCAAACTACAAAAGTATTCTTTCATTAAATAAGTTCTTTTTCTGTCGAGTAGTACTTAAATCCAGTCTTTTTAAAGAAACTAATATAAGGTCAAGATTTTGTGAAGTTGAAAATGATGCTGATGTTGGATAAGATCGCTTTACGCTGGATTAAGTTATAAAAGTGTAGTGGGTTAATGGAAAACACCTGAGGGGTAAAACTGCCGTGGCCATCTGACAGCCATAGTAATGCGGACCTAGTGGTCTGCAATTGCCGCTTCCTTAACGGCAAAATGCCTCATAAATAGTGGTCGCCCCATTAAACGTCATCATAGCATGAAAATCTCCCACAAGTATGGCTCCCAATTGCGATCAAGCTTGTCAGTGTTTAGTCCCCAAGCGACTTGGGTACTCATTTATCAACCCAAGAATGGAAATCAAGGGATGAAAGGCTGAGTCGACTTTGCCCAACCCGGGGACGAAACCCCTGTGGTGCGCTGCGCGATGCGCTAGCACTGCACACTGGCCTCAAATAGTCATGTCAATTAAAATATGAAATTCATCCACACCTAGTTTCTCCTTTCAGCAAATACCCTCAAGTTATGCATTTAATATATATGTATGATATTTTAAAACAATTGATTAAATTAAATTCTATTAATATTGCTTAATAATGTTGGCGATTCTCTACCTAAATTGCATCCCTGTTCCTAAATTTGGCGAAATCCTTTCTTTAGTATAAAATATATTAACCTGTTGGCGCCCGCCAAATCGCCAAACTCATAAATCTGTCATATTACATAAAGTCCTTAAGAACACTCCTGATGAGAAGATAGCGTCACCTCGTGATTTCAATTAATATCGCTGATTGGAGGAGCCTCGTGACGACACATATGTATAAGTAGGGCTTCTGCTCAAGGTACGAGGAGAACGCTTGTGAGATGGATGCTAAAATAAACCTACCACTTATATTCCAAAATTGTCTCATTCCTGTTGCCCGGCTGCACAAAACAAATAATGTATGAGAAATTACATTTCAGAAAGCCGGTAGGATACCACCTTCAAAGGGATTATCTAAAAAAAGATACCCCAAGGATTATACGGATAAAATGTTACGCACTTTAGATGAATTTGCCGCTGTGCGACTTCTATGTTTCTACATTTTTCGCTAGGCGTTCTTGCTTCAAGAGAATCATCCTTCTGTTACCTGTATTCTGGTATTCTGCAGATTATTTTACGTCCAGAGAAGCATCCTTCTGCCCCCTGTGATGTGTGATTTGTGTTTCCATCGAAAGTTCGTCGTTCATCAAATGTGCTCTTACCGTTGACCTACTTTTGAGGATGGAAATCTTTCCCTACGTCTACGCCGTTCTGTTGTGTTGCTCTCGAGAGCTTTGTGCTTGTGTGGTGATTGATCGTGTTTTGCGAAAATCTAATCAAGAGTGCACAAAAATGTGTATTTTCGTGTCGATTTCATCACTCGTATTCTCGTCACAATAAGTCAAACAGAAGCAATTAGTAAAAAGATTGGCGATGCAAATGATATTATTACTATTGAATTATAATTATTGATTTAATAATAGTGTTTTTATTTTTGAAAATTTTAAAAAATATTATTTTGTTATAAATGTATTTTAAATTTGGTATTTAAAGGATGTATTTTGGTTTTAATATTGTTTTGGGAAAATTTAAAGAGTATTATTTTGAGTTAGTTTTATTTATGAAAGTATTATTAGTTTT